CAGAGACTCTTAAAACTACTTCCAGTCACTGGAAGGGTGCATTTTCTCACACAAACAAGTGCACAGATGTTTACTTAAGTGTCCCTTTTTTTGAATCGTTGGGYMCAGGCTCAYGTTACATTTACATATATTAGACGCTGCATTGGTCGCTGCAACTAAGGGATGACATATTTATTACTTTGTGTCGGATAACGCGCAGGTTACTCGAGTACTGTCTCTATTTTTTATTATTATGTATGTTCATGTTTGAACACCTAGTGTGTTAGATGCATGACGCTCGATAGAGAAGTTGTGGTTCGAATCCCGATCGGTGCAACTGATGTTAACTTTTTTAATTGTTTAAAAATATTTTTATATTTTATTAAATGAGTTTGGTATTTTATTTATATTTTTAAATACATCGAAATTGAAATTTCAGCCATACTAAATAGGCATTTTTATTTGTTGGGCTCAGGGTAGTATCTAGTCGAGCACTCTCGACTAGAATTTTCTTACTTGTTTTTTTATTATCGACGCTTACATTCTAACAATTACAATTAATGATGGATTTTTCTTGTGCAAATCATTCATCTMTTTAGAGAATGGAGGATGCAAAAATTTGCTGTAGTATTTGCGGCAATTTGGTGAGGTCCAAACATACAAAGCTCTGTCCCATAGGCATTTCATTTTCAATTCTAGAAGAAATCATAAAATAAATGGACAACAGGCTAATTTATATTTCATTGATATAATAAAAACTTACTTATTGGCCTCTTCTGCGAAACTTCCAATAAAAATAACATATCCCTTAACCTTAGGTTCATTGCCACTAAGAGCTTCAGCTAAATCTTTTGGTGAAATAGCGTAGCGCGCGAGATTGGCATCACTAAGAAGAACGACAATACCATTGTCATAATCAACTTCTGCTCCCAGAACGGAACAAGCTTCTCGGGCCGCTTTGACGGTGCTATCACCGGACCAACAAAATTGGGAATGAGCATGCATCATACGTATTATTTCAAAGCGCTCCTTTGCGTTTTTAGGGCAGTTGCCCACAGTGATAAAGGGAAGCTCCCAGCCTTCACCACTATGTCCAACAATATCGAACACAATTTTTTTCTCGTAACCCTCGAAAGCTTCCATAACCATAACTACGGCTTCCAATTGGCGGTCTAGCCGTCCATCATAGCCATTGAATCTTAGAAAACGTATTAAATAAAAGATATAACATTGTTGATAGGATATAATACCTGTACATCGATCCTGACACATCAACCACAAGTTTAAGTCGATTAGGTTTCTCATGGATGTTGTTCGACCAGGGATTCGCATCGATACGTCGCCTGTAAATATTTTTCTCTCCTGCGATACCTTCAATAAGACGAGTGTCATCGACGTCACCATGACATTGGTACTTCTGCCATTGGCGTTCATTATCTTTAGTATGCATAGCTTCTAAAATGCTTCTCAACTGTTGTACTTGTTTTTGGTTGGCTTTACTGAACTGAGCATACAGACTATAGTCGTGAGCAGACATTTTTATCTCTTTTAATTTTTGTTCATATGCCTTTCGGTTCATTTCACGTGCGGCTCGCTTTATTTCTTGTGGAATATTAGCTTTTTCTTCGTCGCTCAATTGATGAACAGTATGACCTTTGTCAAGACGAAAGGGCCCACCTTTGCCACCAAGTCCTGCTGTATCGCGTCCACCGCTACCACCGGACCATGTGTTGCCACCTACATGGGGCTCATTTTTAGGATCTAATTTGCCGAATTTAGGACCTGACACATCCAACCCGCTGTGGCGTTCGATACTGAATTTAATCTTCTGTTTCTTACGCAGATTTTGCATTTCATTTCTTGCATATACATCGATCGACAGACCGTGTTTAGCCAGAACGTTGGTGATTTGCTCCATAGCCTCCGGATTGTACCGATCAAAATCAAATACATTCCCTACCAGTTCAGACATATCTTCCTTAGGATAACGCTCCAAATGTTTAATAATGCTAATGACTTCCCTCGTAGAATACGGATAATTAAGTAGCCCCTCGTCCGCCATACTGCGAAGCTCACTAAAGGCATTTACAAACATTGTGAGAGTTTTAACAGGTAGTGATGGTCCATACCGCTGTAGGAGGTATATTTCCGATCGTGGTGTGGGATTATCGATGGCATGGCAACTGAAAACATCGCCTACTGCCGCAAAGAAATCATTACCTAGAAATGGGTAACCTGGCCGGTTTGCTAATACAATAACTCGGAAGTTTGCGTGCGTTTCAATTAAATTAGGGCTTTTTGCACAAGCCCCAAATGGGACAATCATTCGACCATCTGAAAGCACCATCTCGCCGCGCTCAATCAAAGTGTGAAGAATGCAGGAAACATTGACTGGTGCTTTGTCCGCCTCGTCTATAACGAGCACATGACCAAACTTCACTGCCTTTACCAGGGCACTATCTTGAAAGACCACTTTTCCATTGCATAGCGTTGATTGTACTGTTAGGCTATGCACAGTAGTATCCCTATGTAGCTGTAAATACTCACGGGGACGGCGCATGAGCTCAAGTAAACGATCTACGAGTTTGTTTTTGCCCACGCCCTGATTGCCCACTAAAAGCAAATGTTCACCGATGAGAAAGTCCTGAAGGAGGCGTTCGAGCATCATAACGTGCTGTGGCATATCATAGAATAGTGTGCTGGGCACTTTTGATTGCTGATCCAGTGATATCTCTGATAGCTCCATTTCTGTTTCTCCAATTCGTAGTTTATTGTTCATTACACTAATTAGCCGTTCATTTTCATCATTGCACCGATTTTTTTTTGTACATTTGTCAATTCCTGCCTCCATCATTGCCTCTTCTAAAACTGTACGAGAAAGTGAGGGCATAAATTTCATAAGAAATGTATGTTGCAAAATATCATAAATGTCGTTCAGATTGCTTGATGGATATGCTTTTAAGCGTCTACCAATTTTTACCAATCGGCGTGTTGATAACGTCTCAGCTAGACCATAAAGTAATGGATTTTTTGACTTTCGTAATAGTTGTGCCAGCATCATTAGCTTATACATATTAGGATGCAATTCGCCGCACAATTGAATTAGCAGTTCTTGCTCTTCATTCTGTTGCAGTGGCCGCAGCTCCTGATAGAGGAACATGCTTAACAATTGTGGTGTCAGCCAGTTAAATTGAGCAGTTTTCGATTTCAAAGGCTCGCCCAATGCAATAATGCGAAAACTATCTGGTATAGGCAGCACATTATGCTCAGACAGCTGACTTTTGCTAAATCCATCTTGCAGAAGCGCTTGATAGCGATCCTGACGAAGCARTCTTGTGCCATCACATAATTGTACTTCGCGATCATGAATTAATCTAGGGATGACCAAATAAAAAAAATATATATAATGATATAATATGAATTTGGAAAAAAAAAAAAATATTGCATATATTAATCGTGTCTAATTTCGTTGAAACTTGATGTATGTATAATATACATTGAATACTTCCATAAACAGTCGACTCTCGTTATTTAATAATTCAAGGGACTCTTAAAACATTACGAATTATCATATGTTTGAAATATTAAATGGTTCGAAATATAGAGAGAAATTAAAAAAGCTTAGAATTATCAAGGGTTTTTATTTAATTGCTGGTATTTAATATATTCTTGATATACTTATGTTCAAATACATAATCTTTGAAAAGAACTCATTTATACGGGTTTGCTTCAAAGCATATTGCTGCTGCTCAGACATAAAACATAAAACTGTATGGGAATCATTCGAAATAAAAGATTTTGTAGGAGACTAGTGACAACTATGAATTAATGAAAACAAAAACAAGTAAGAAAGCACTAGTTGAGACTGCCCGACTACGAGATCCCCTGAACCTTTCGCACATGCACACACACATGCACTCAGACAGACATACGCACGCACGCATAAACACGCATTGGCTGCAGTGGTGGGTGGCTTACTATGGGAGCTTATATGCTTGATAACTTTTTTTGTGGATGGACTATCCTCATGAAACGTTTAGATTATGAATAGATATGCATATACTTGCCAAAGCACAAGTCTCTTCTATTTGAAATACGCCTTTTATAAATATGAGGGTGAGGGGGTGAATTAGGGGTGTGAGGTAAATTGTGACAAAAACCGAAATTCTATAAAGTACATAAAAATTTAACGACTCTAGCTTCGAAGATGTAGCTGATATAAATATATTACTGGTTTTCGATAATATTTTTAGTCGATAGTATTTTATCGATTTTAAAGCAAAACTCGATATGCGCGTGGTATACACGGACCCAGGAAAACAAATTTCAACATCTAGCTCTTATATCTTCTGAGATCGACGTGTTCAAACATACTGATAGACGGACGGACGGGCAGACAGACAGACGGACAGGGCTAATTCTGACACAACCCGATATTCTATTAAGTATATATGAATCTATATGTATTTAAAATTTGGCGACTCTAGCTTCGAAGATGTAGCAGATATAAATTTATTACTGGTTTTCGATAATGTTTTTAGTCGTTAACAAAATAACGAGGCAGGCTGAAATCGACGCGTTCAAACATACGGACAGAGCTAAATTGACTCAGCTCATCATCCTGATCAAGAATATAGATATTTTATGGGGTCTGCCACCTCTCCTTCTGCCTATTACATACTTATGACAAAACCATTGTACCCTGATTTCCCATTTTCAATGGGTTCAGGGTACAAAAATTACTTGTCGAAGAGAAAGCCCTTACTTTACATAGAGTTTCATTCATCCATATAATATATTCTGGACTGATTCATATCCAAGCAGTTTTCAAAACCTAGTGTACACTGAAAGGCGTTATGTGCAATTATTCATTAGGCAATGTTTCGTTATCTACCGTTGCAGAACCGGAACTGTGCTTCTATGAAGTCTTTGAATGCCATTTAGTATTGCCACTGATCCGGTCTTAGCTGCTCTGATCAATGGAGAATCTCTCCAGATTGTGTCTCCAACTTCATTAGTAACGCGCTGCTGAATAAGATCCCGAGACGTCAAGTCTTCATAAAGCATCATTGGTTCAGGGATTTGGTTAACTATGCGTAAAAGCTCGGTTATTAATGTGGTTTTTCCAACACCTTTTTCGCCTAATAAACAAACGTCTCCAACTACATAGGATTGTAGCAAAGCAGCAAGTACTTGGCGCTGATGCGGCAAATCGACAAATTTTCCGTTTAATAGTGTAGGTGATCTGCATGGCATGCTTATTAGTACCTCGTCCAGATGCACATCAACAACCAAAGCTTTAGCACAACTACTTATACGTTGTACATTTTTTGTGCGAATACGCTTAAACGACATATTTGTAAGCATTTCTTCGACTCGTTTTTGCTGCTCTTGTATTAGTATAGAACTGTAGGGATAGAGAGATACAAAGACGTCGTACATGGTAAGCTGCGGATTATTTTCCTAAAAGCAAAATTTAAACTAAATACTTGAGAAGATAATTTCAGTTTATGCTATACCATCATTTGAATGCCTTGACGTAGATTATGAAATGGGAAATCTGGGAGTTTAAGTTCTTCGCTAGCTGATTGAAGTGTAAATGCACATTTAAGCAACTGTTTTAGTGCTGAGGGGGACACACAAGTCGATAATTTCTGCAGATTCTCGTAGAGCTCTTCAAATGTGCATGACATTATGTTTCGCGACTGAAAGCGTGATCTTAGTGGTGGATCTAGGGGCGTGCCCTTATATTTCTGTGTGGGAAGTCCTATTGCCAATACTCGAAAGTCTTCTGAAACACGAAGTAAGCCCCAGTCGTCCAGCTGTCGTTGACTATGTGTCTGAAAATGTAGAGTAAATTTATAGTTTCATATGAGCTTAAAACATTCTTAAAGGCACACCTGTAGCAACTTATCGTAACGATTCGATGCCATAAGAAATTGACCACTTTCCAGGTGCATTTCACGATTCTCGAGGAGATTGTTTAGTACCGGCAATACATTCCGTTCGGCATGCTCAACGCCGTCCAGTATCAGCACTCGTCCATGCAAGGCAGCGCGAACTGCAGCCTGATCATAGTATTTGGCAGACTTACCATTAATCTCCCTACGTTGCTTAATATCGCTTTCGGTAGTATCGCGACTTAGTGCAACATATTCAAATTCGCGTTCCGTAATTTCTAGAAATTGCATGACCAGGTGTCGACTCACTGGTCCTGGTCTACCCAAAAGAAACATGTCTTGTTGCAGCGAATCTTTTTGTAACATCCAACGAAGATGATGAAGTGTTGTTTGATCCAATTTAACTGTCCCATCTTCTCCATAAGTTACTATAAGTTTACTTATTGAAAATGAGATGGGATTTTATATTAAATCAAACTTTAATCTATAAATGAATATACATATTACATCAGTGACCGTAACGATTATAACTTTCATAGCAAATTGTTAAACAAGTAAGAAAAATATAGTCGAGACTGCTCGACTACGAAATCCCCTGAACCTTGAATTGACATTTCAATAATTATTCGCAGCGGAAATACGTGCTTACACAAGAAACACATAGGCATGCACGCATAAACACGCATGGACTGCAGTGTATGGGAACTTAATTCTTTAACAAGTTTTCTTGTGGATGTACTTTTAAAATTGTAACAAAAACCGAAATTGTATAAAATGCATATAGGAACACATTGGGAGACTCTAGCTTTAAAGATGTAGGAAATATAATTTTAAAACTGATTTTCGATATGTTTTTTTTATTGATAAACAAGTAAGAAAACTCTAGTCGAGAGTGCTCGACTAGATACTACCCTGAACCCAACAAATAACAAGTAAGAAAATTCTAGTCGAGAGTGCTCGACTAGATACTACCCTGAACCCAACTAATAAAAATGCCCATTTAGTATGGCT